AGAACTTATCTCTGAAAACATGTTTATAAAAGAACATATATGCACGGGATATGAAACGTTACTATTATTGCCTACATCACTGAAAAACTTAAAATGCTGCATCATAAAACCTGCTCACACTTAAAGGAACAAAAATAATAATCTCGCAAACACGCTTTATGATTGTGGGTGTAGTATGGGTGAGCAAGAGTAAAAAATACTGCTTCCAAATGTCAACAAGACCATGGAGATGATGACGGACTTTAACATCCAAGGGAATAAAACTGCAAGTACTTCCTGTAGATGTGAAGCTGAGCATCAGACCAGCCTGGAAGATCAAGACTGAGTGTTTACAAGGAGGGAATGACCAGATTCAGGTCAATCATTTTCAGCAGCAAAATATTGAAGATCTTTTATATGTATTGGTAAGGACCAACACACACAGTGGTGCAATGACAGATGCCAGCAGGCTCAATAAACTTCATAAAGTTGGATAAATCATTGGTGTGAACCTCAGGACTATTAAGTCAGTAAAGGACGGGAGGTCATTGAACAAACAGCAATTTTTCACCACTTTATGACGTTTTACACACACAGCAGACCTCGTTCTCCAGCTGGCTCATTTACTCTCTGCTGTCGTGAAGAACTCTGCAGGTAATAAGTCCTGTCATTCACAAGTATTTTCTACACAGCACATCTCTGTACCATGTGAAAACTCAATCAAATCTAATTCATCTAATCTATTTGTCTATCATGAGAAAACTAGGAAAAAAAAAAAAAAAGTTAGGTTAGAGACCAAAAAGAAAGCTGCAGTCGATTTTACACTCGGGGGGGGAAAATGATGTATTACAACTGGTAGGGCATCCCAAAGGGTCAGGGCTGCATTGCTTTCTGGTGTGAAGATGAAAAGCAGATCATCAATTGAAAACCTTAGGTTACAGGCTGTTTGGATCAGCAACCAAGGTTCTACTGTAATGGGGAAGGGGGTCAGAGAGTTACTGGGGGAGCAATGCCATGCATTGATTTGCAGGGGAGAATTTTGCAATAGATATACAGTAAAGCCTAAATTTAAGCTATTGGAATTGAATAAGGGTTGGCTAGAAGTGTTGCCAGGGTCAGATCTGGGTGAAACGCCTGGGAGCAATTGTTTTTGAACAAACTGGAGTCTTTCCAGGGTTTTATCAAGTAACTCAAAGTAGAATGCATTGTAGTAGCCCAGACTAGTGGTCATGAAAGCATGTATGACGTTCACACAGTTGGAAAGGATTGCAGGAGTCTAGAGATGTTTTTGAGGTGACAAAAAAGTTAAATTGCATCATTTGGACAGTTTCTTTTTAGAAGAACATTTGGAACATTTCGTTTCTCATCCAAAAGACTTAATCAATCTGAGGCCTACCAACAGGATCTGTTGTACTAAATAGCATCTTATTGATGTGTTTCAAACCAGTTGTAGTAGTTGTGGTTTTGTCCCTGGTGTTGTGTTCATGACTGTGTTCCCCTGATCCTCTGTTAATATCTCTATAAGGTTTGTGTTTCTTTGGTGTCCATCCCCATCTTGTGTCGTGTTTATGTCCTACGTCTTCAGTCTCTGTCTCTGGCATCTGTGATCACTCACATGTGTCTTCACTTTGTCTGATTGGTGTTTCCTGTATATAAGTCTGTGTCTCTGTGTTAGTCTTTGTGGCATTGTCTACTGTTCACTAGTACTGACCTGTCTATTGCCTGAGTACCTCCTGTTCATACTTGTTTGTTTTTGCTGCCCCATCAGCTCTTTTGTTTTGTTAATATTTTTTTTATTTTATATATATCCTGAGTCCTCGCCTGCTTGCCTGCACAGCTGGGTTCACCAGCACCAATTGTGACACCAGTCTGCAGTGAAGTTCCTAGAGACTGGCTTTACACATGCAAGATGGAGGACCATCAGTCTAAAACAATTGATCATTGGTGCATAACAATCAACTGTTATAGGAAAAATGTCATTTTACTACTCACCAAACCACCCAGAGGAGAACCCGGACAAAATGGTTAAAAGCTCTTTTTGTTAAAAACTCTTTTTGTTTTTGAGGTGGAAATAAGCAAATTTGGTGAAGGATTTAACATATTCAAAGATGAAAATGGGGTTTAGTATGAGGCCAAGGCTGCAAAAATTAGAAGTAGATGGAGCACACGTCTTTATACAAAAGGAGATCTCCAAACTTCTAAGGTCATATCTTTGGCGTCTCAATCAAAAGCTCAGTTTTGTTCCTATTGGGTGTAAATATAAATGTCAACATCCAGGCTTTGATATCTCATAAATAGTTCACTAGTGGAGGGAGTTGAGTAATTTGTTGACAAACCTTTGACCAAGGGAGAGTGCACAAAAAATTAAATGGAGTGGTCCAAGTACAGAGCCTTGAGGTAGTCCTTGATTGATTGAGGTTTTACAGTAGCAATTATTGCAAATGCTGTCAAACACGTTCCTATTGGACAGATAGGACTGCAACCAGGACAGAGCTGTACCAGTCAGTGGTTAAGTAGGCTCATATGAAAGATAGAATCTAAAACCTGCAGGAGTGTGGTGAAAAATTATGGATTTGCCTGATTTGGAAACATACTGCAGAGTTTCACGAAGCATGTTGAAATAAAAAGAGCAAGCAGTAAATTTCTGAAAAATATCAAATTTAATTTGGTTATAAAAGTTGTATTTTTCACATGTACACTCACACATATTTAGTTATCATAAATACCATCTAATAAGTTTTCCATTTCTTCTTTTTAAATTGTGATTCACAAAGCAAGCACATACGGCGGAGCGATACATGTGATTTCAAAAAGACACTATGGAGAATCCTTGCAGTCTTTTATACAGGGAGAGGACACATACAGTACATATCAGTGCAATTAAAAAAAGGCTGTCGTAAAATCAAGTAGAAACGTTTTATAAATTATCTACAAATGGATCAAAGTACAAAAGAGCTACAGTGTTTGCAGACACAACACTCATTCAGAGGTGAATCTTATGGTTTTATGAATACCTTGTTTCAGAATCAAGACAGATTGGACAAGAAACTTTACATGAACAGCTTTGGAACAGAAAACACTAAATGTAAACTTAGCCATACTTTTCTCACATTTGTTTTTGGCCACTCCATTTCATTAACATTAATAATAAAGGACGAGGAAGCAAACCCAGTTGTACTGAATAAAATTAACTATACACAAATATACAAAGATAAACTGGACATAATGAACATCTGAAAAAAAGAAACATTTTGAATGATTAAAGCTATGAGTCATACCTACTTTCTAGGTAGTATTTTAGTTTCTGAGCACTTTTATAGCTCTCTTTGACACAAAATTGTTAAATTGCTTCTAGAATTTAAGACATTTTTGAAATATCCTGTCAAAGAAATGAGAGTTAGTTGTGTTTGTGTTGTGCTGTTTTCACAAATAAATGTACAAACAAGAAAATTTTACGAGTTTTCTTGAGTTTTTTCCTCATTTTAGGGAGTTTAATGTCAATTTGATGGACATACGATGCAGTTTACCTTGATGCTACACTATCAATTTGCTTTTTCATTGTTGTTCAATTTAAAAATGTGATGATGGGTTATAAAAATGTAAGATAAATATAAATTCATTTGAGCTGTTAGTTTTGAGAAACGTCTATCTAAATCATCAGAAAAAAGCTGAACACTTTGAAGGTTGGCACAATTTCTTGATCTATTTATTTCTACGTTTTAAATGATTCAGAACTATAGGAATAGATGTGAAAATGAATGTTGTGATGCAACTTTATGATAATGATGTAGAAGCTGTTTAACATGTAAAATTTGTAATAGTATAGTCCTTATGTACTTTAAGTGCAAGTTAAACATAAATCCAAGCAAAACAAAACTCTAAATGACTTAATATTTCTCCACAGACAGAATCAGAGAACAATTCATGCTTCAGTATTTTGATTTTTGAAGTTTTCATTTGTCTTCATCGTGTCCCACTAACAGTATATCTGTGTGAGACGACCAAACTACACAGTGCAGTCCATTGAAGTAGCAGCACATCACCATATATCACAAGACAAGATAGGCTCTCCTTCAGAAACATAAAGTGTACAAGAGATATGAAAGTGCAAAACAGAAATGCATCACATACACACAGGCGCACAAAGCATGTTAGCCAGTTTCCAGACGAAATAAAGTTGTAGATAGACGCAGTTTTTTTTGTCTTGAACTAGGCGTTTCATGACAGTTTCACGGCAAAGACGATGAACATTGCTCTAATTTATCTCCTAAAAGTGTCAAAGCACAGGTGTTATGAAACAAAAACCCGTTGTATGTTAGTCTTGTAACCAAACGAGGAATACCGTGCTCACGTTTTCATAAAGGCCACTGAGACAGCTGAGCTCGCCCGGTGTTTTTAATGCCCTGATACCGATCTGCTCGAACTTTTCTGAAACTCTCAGAAACATGTCTCCCCTCTGAAAACCAGAAAGTGAAAGCATGTCCCTTCTTTCAACCTAATGCTACTATCTCTCTGTAATATTGCACTGAAAAAAGATTCTAGCTAGCAGCCAGCATTGCTTCACAGAATGCTTCATAACAGTGTTATCTAGTTGGGATTTTCTCAGGAGAGAACGATGCCTCCATAAAACTTGGTGTTCTTTTACCAAGAAAACTCGTTTCCCAGCTTCAAATGACTTTAAAGTTTATTTTAAATTATAATAAATAATAGAGGGAAACTAATGTCATGAAAATCCTAGTTTATTTTATTTATTTAACCATTTTTGAAATTTAAAAAACATCGTAGTAAAATGGGTTTGTATCCACATGTGACTTCACTCTTGATTTTGGAACTGCACTGTACAAAATGCATGTGGTTTGTACCCATTACTGACATAGTCATACTTGTCAGGCTCAAACAGTCCAGAAGACAAATGTCCACTCTGTCATGTGCTGTTAGATCAGAGTTGATTGTATGGATGCTTATATACAGAGCCCCACAGGTAGAAGTCTTGTACATTAATTCTTACTTTAGTATATTTTTTATTTAACAGGGGAAAGTCTCTTAAGTAGTTTCTTTCCTTTGGAAAGTATCCCTTTCTTCTTCTTGAGATCATGAGGGTCCCTGGGGTCCAGCGGGAGGTGTGGACCCCTCGGCGGGCTGAGAGGTCTCATAGTTCCTGGGAGCAGGGAGCGAACGATTGGTGATGGGGCCCGAACAGGTGAGCTGATGTTATTGGCCGTGTCTGTGGTTTCTGTGGTAACCTGAGGAGATACGTGATGGGGAGGTGCGGGGGCAGCATATTACAAATGAGGCATTTCTTTACCTTGTATCTAAGATGGTCAGTGAACGCATCATCCCAACTGTTCTTTCACAAACTAAACCAAAACAAGAATATTTGCTTTCAGGAGCCTGACTGGATTCCATCATTAAAATCATTGGATACAAGCAGAATGTGTTGAATCACAAATTTTCTTGTTGAAAATAATTTACCATATGATATCAAAATGCTAAAACTGAGCTTAATCAATAAATAAAGAAATAGTCTCTTGTTTAATTGGGAACAGTAGCACATTACTACCTCTGTGCTGAATCACTAAACATTTGCCATAATAATCAAAACAATCTGATCCAAACCATTTAAATACATGTTATATACATATACTCTACAGTATCTGTGTGTTAATAACAAGGCAAACAGTTCCTCTCATACACAACTAACTGAAAACATCAAATTTGAATTGTAGAATAATCAAACACAATAAATCGCAAACTTTAGGTGGTATTTTGTATACAATTCTTATTTTTAAGACATGCATAACCTACAAAACATTATTTGGACATGTTAATTAAACTAATAAAGGGCATTATTTAATCTGTGTGGACTTTATTATTTCTGTTAGTCACATGAATAATTCAGGCCAGCAGCTAAAGTTTGCATTATGCGTGTAAGTGCTTGCCCTACTTTTTGCTAACCTTCTCACATTTCTGGCTGATGAACAGGATCCTGCAGAACATGATGGGATACTGTAATTCAACCACTGACTTATGGTTGTTGGTGCAGGGGAAAAAGTAAAACATGCAGGATAGTGGGATTGGGCACCCCAGTTCTGTAGATAATATTTTACATAGAGTATGTGTTATTTGCATATAGCATCAGCTAGCTGTAGCACTTCAAGTATAGCTTAGATATTCCAAATTTTCTGTTAGAATTATTCTGTTATGCAAAATTTACTTGAGCATAAAGTTTATAAAGTAACTTGCTTGACCTGCTGTGATTTTTTTCTTAAATATATTTTATTCTAAAGCCCCCAGTATACTCCCACGTATGTACGTCTGAGCGTACGTACGCGGAGGGTTGAGACTTCATACTCGAGCGTCCACCCTGAGTGGCTGCAGAGCAGCTTCGCAGACAAGGGGCGTTTATCTTCTGGACAAATTGAGGTCGCCGACTGTTCATTTGCTGACACGCCTACTGGACTAAAAAAAAAAAAAAACAGAGCTGGCAGCCCCAGCCGCAGCGGTGTTCTGTGTTTATATGTTGTTAATAAAAAGTTTTTAATTAAAAAAAAAAAACAAGGAGCGCTGGCCCTGCAGTACACACATCAGATCAGCCCAACAGGAAATCTCCAGACCCTCCCGCAGCCACAATGGGACTGATTTTGATAAGCTCGTGACAAATTCCTCCATTTCTCATCATTTCAGTCATTGCATCAATGGAGGAGGAAGAGATCACTGCCTCTTGACAAAAAAAAAAAACTAAAGAAAAGGCCAGATCAGGGATGAAGAAGGGGAATTTAATGCATTGGTGTCGCAAACAAAACAGTCCGTCGCCGGGCAGTTTATTGTGCGACACAGCGTACGCATACGCGGTCATAAAAATTGAGCTTTCTGCAGACATGCCCTGCAGAGGTACGCGCGTACTTCCGTACGCGGGAGTATACTGGCTGCTTAAGATTCAACCTGCCTACTTGGATCTTAACTTGCCTTTAATTAACCATTACCTCATTAATCCAGTTATACAGTAGTCCCTCGTTTATTGTGGGGGATCCATACCCTGAAGCCCACAATAAATGAAAAACCGCAAAGTAGCTATAGTAGTAGTAGTAGTAATAGGGTTAGTAGCTTATTTTAGTGTGTGTGTGTGTGTATATATATATATATATATATATATATATATATTCCCACACTTTTGCAATATTCTAAATAATGTTTCTAAATGCTCTAAGTGCACAGAATGTCATTATTTCAGCTACCTGCCTCCTCTGCTCTCAGCCACCTGCATGCGGTCTTGGCCACGCCCACTTCTCCTCTCTGCGTGGAGAACAGCTGATCAGCTGCAGCAGGAAGCTTATCCTGAAGTATGGGCTGCATAAATGTGCAGCAGGTGCTAAATAATTTAAAATAATTTATTTTAAATAAAAATTCCATGCCAATCGTGCGGCTCATCCATCAATTAGCCAATTGTGTGTCATGTCCAATCTTATTTTGAAAAACCACGATAGAGCAAGTCCGCTATAAACGAAAAGCAAAGTAGCGACAGAATACTGCATATGTTTTTTATTTTTCCACAATGAGGCTGTTGGAAGTGTTATCCACAACAGGTAAGATATTGTTTGTTCACAAACCTTACTTCTAAATAAAATTGGCACAACTGCTTGTTGTTCTACAACAGTCTCCATGTTTTATGCTTTTGTTGTTTTGTTGCATGTTAATCCGAACCACTTTATTTTTTTTAACAGTTGGGAAAACGGTGAGTTTCTACACAGAAATTGTACAGAAGAAGAAGAAAAAAACACATAAGAGGAAGCCGTCAAATGTTGAGCTCAACATCAGACCACACAGAGGCGACTACTCCACCATCAGTAGGCCAGAGGGGAACACAGAGCAGAGCTGTAGACTTTACAACACCCACGGATACAACTGTAGATTCCAGGCTTCTCCTCTAATGCAGGAGCTTGCATTTAAAGTTTTCAAATATTGGAAGAATTTTACTTTAATTTAAGCTATTTATTTAAAAAATTGCAACAATCTAGCATATCAAACACCTAATGCGAAACATTCTTTAGATCAAAATATTGGGAATATTACAAACAATAATATCGTAACATGTTTTGTATAAACTAAAGACTAAAAAAAGTATGGATCTGACTGATATGAGTCATAAGGCTTTGCTGTAGCCCCAAGCTGTGTGCATTAGAGCTGAAAGTCTGTTCTCTAGTTGCCAACTTACTGTACAAGGCAGACAGAGCCACTTATGGTGTGAAATGAACAATCTTCCTCAGTTTGTTTTGTTTTGCCAAGCGGGTGAGGAAAAACAGTGGGAAAGAAATCAGATGCGGCAGCACTGTCACTGTCGAGAAAACCCACACCACTAAAACAACCAAAAACAAATTAACAACACCAACACATATGAACACAGAGCGCAAACACGAATGGGTTAATATCCAATTTTTGTTTTTTATTGTTTCATTAGAACAATACAGAATGGATGTCTCAATGCTGCAGTTAGTTGTGTCTCTTGATTTCAGAGCGAACGTAGCAAATCCACCATCAACGGGGCTGAAAAATAGATTTGATGTGTGGGCAAGAGAAACAAAGCCTCTTTAAGGAAATACACAAGTTGAGCCAAGAGTTATAAAATGTATCAAGTTTGAAAAAAACATGCCTTTCTCTGTTTTAAACTTCAAATTGTCTTCTTAAACACTTTCTTTCAGGGAGACTGGGTAGCAATTGTCATGTGACAATAAAGCACTTTATAGCATTAGAATTATATACAATAACCACAATTTGATTTTGTGTTTCAGTGCAAAGAAGTACCAAATTGTTTAATGTAAGGAATGAATTTAACCATGCATGGACCACCTGCAGAGTTCCCACAGTCTGTCCGCTCTCTGTCCACAGGCTTTGCTTCTTCCTTTCTCTGAGATTAAGAAAGGTGTAACCACTGGATTTTGCCCCTTTTTCCAAAGGGGTGAGGGGAGGTTGTTAGTCTGTTTAGAGTCACCACTGTCACCACATGGACAAACACACACAATGAACAGCACACAGACTGCAGGTGGAAGGAAGTGAGAGACGGAAATCAAGAGAGGACGGAGGATGGATGAGCACAGGGCCTAGCGCTGAGAGCGGCGATAATGATGTACCCGTTTTCCCTCTGATACGGCGGCTGCAGGGTTGGCAGGGGGCCGGTTGGCAGGCTCTTCCTGGGGGTAGTGGGACGGGGTGTCGGTCAGATACACCTCCACGTCATCAGGCACTTCTTCCAGGAAGTTAGAGGGGACCAGACCGCGATGGCCGTTGAGCTCACCCTGTGGACAGAAATATGGGAGAGAAAACAGGGTCCTGACATATTACACTGCCATATTTTACTGATGGAAACATACTAAATGTGTTCAATACACCAAATTAGAGATTCTAATGACTGATGCCAAAGGTTAGACAACATGACAGTCGACAAATGGTTAATGAAGCAGATTTGTTTGGTTTATTTTACTCTATAATTACCGTTTAATAGTTGAATATTCATACACTTTTCAACTTGTTTTTGTCGTTTAAGCATTAGAGCTCGATGCAAATCAGTAAGGGTTCACTGTGAATGCATTTCTAAAACTGGTTGCTTTGTATTTTTCAAGAGGAGCTTTTATATCTTACCAATTAAAGATTTAAGGCAATGAAAACAGAAAAAAGCCCCAAAACATACCCCTGCTGTGAAAGGCACCACCATTGTGCAAAAAGCATCGACAAAAGGACACGGTGTCAAATAGAAAACTCTTCCTCGTGGCTTTTAATTGATCTAGTTTGTTCATTTTGAATAATGTTAATTTATACTAAAGTAGTAGGAGATACTCTAGGTTGAGTCGAACTCCAAAAGGTGCCAAAATTTAAAAACTCTGGCTGAGCCACGGGCCACTTTCAGCAGATACATTAACTCGAGTCAGATGGTTGCAGGTTCATCAACAAGAGTTTGATCTGTCTCACTTGATGTTCTGTTACTCTTTCCACATAGGAATCAATAATGACAAAATGATCCAACCATCTTTCTGGCTTCAAAGTTAGCCAGCTGGCAAGAGAAGTCTACACTAAATGATGATGTTTTTTATCAGTTGGTTAAAGAAAATGTTTAGAAGATATACAATATTTTACAGTGGCTCTTGAGTTTGAGATATGTGCTAAAACTGCTCTCACCCACCTGGAACAGGACTCCTATGTCCGTATGCTCTTTGTGAACTTCATGTCTGCCTTCAATACCATGATCCCCCAAACCCTGATGGACAAACTACTCACACTAGGACTAAGCCCCTCAATTTGCAACTGGGTCCTAGACTTCTTAACAAACAAACCACAGTCAGTGAGGATCCAAAACTTCTCCTCCTCCACCATAACCCTCAGCACTGGCTCCCCTCAGGGATGTGTGCTGAGCCCTCTCCTGTTCACTCTGCTCATGTATGATTGTGCACCTACCCATCCAGGCTGTCATATTGTAACGTTTGCAGATGGTATAGCGGTGGTGGGACGCATCACAAACAAAGACGAGTCCTGCTAGAGGCAGGAAGTGGTACACCTGGAGAGCTGGTGCAAAGAGAACAACCTTCACATCAGTGTGAAGAAGACAAAGGAGATGGTCGTGGACTTAAGAAGGAACAAACACACCTACCCCCTCCCTACCACCACCCCCACAAAAAACATAAAAGGATCTGTGGTGGAAGTGGTCTCCAGCTACAAGTACTTGGGTGTACACATGAATGACAACCTCAGCTGGAGCAACAACACCACCAGCCTGATCAAGAAAGCTCATCAGAGACTCTACTTCCTTAGACGGCTGAGACGAGCTGGTCTGGGAAACTCAGTCCTCGCCTCCTTCTACAGGTGTGCAGTGGAGAGCATCCTGTGCTCCAGCATCAACATGTGGCATGGAGGCTGCACAGCTGCATAAAGAAAAGCTTTGCAGAGAGTGGTGAAGGCTGCACAGAAGACTGTTGGAGTCAGTCTCCTCACCATCACAGACATTTACACCTCTAGATGCAGGAAGAGGGCCACCTGCATCATGAAGGACCCCACTCACCCAGCACACACTTTTTGCCCCGCTCCTCTCAGGAAGAAAGTTAAGGAGCATTAAGTGCAGAACCACTAGACTGAGGAACAGTCTTGATTAGTGCTTAGTGTATTTTTAGTTGTTTTTCTTAGTTCATATCTTGGAACTTTTTACTGTTTTTCTTTTACATTTTATTGTTGGATGTAACTGGGACCCTGTGTACATAATTTTGTTCAGCCACATGTGCTGCATGTGGTGCGAACGACAATAAAGAATATCTGTATCTGAAAACTGATCCAGTTCTGGTTCAAATCAGGTCTGGGGCCTCAGGGGTCATTTTGACTCTAGGACAGAAGGAGGGGTTAAGAGAACTTGGTACTTGGTACTAGGTTATTATTATCATCACAATTATTACTGTTATAATATTTTACTTCCTTATTTTATTCATTTAGAGTTCCATATACAAACTCCCTATAGACTTAAAAAATCTGTTTGATAAGTGGAGGTTAATGTTTCTAAATAGACGTTTTTATTTCTGAAAAATACATTTGAACAAAAGATAGGTTTCACCTAGAATTGAAAAAAAAAAACAAGCAATTGTTTCAGTAAGAAGTCTAAACACATTTAGATCCTTGCTGGCTATGATACAATTAAATAATAATAATGAGCTTTTTTAGACTTGGAAAAAAAAGACCTCAATGGCTGAAAATAATTGATTTAAAATTAGACAAACATCACTCACGTAATAAAATCCATCTTCATCGATGTCTCCAAACACAGCGACGATGTCACCAGCACAGAACGTCAGCTCAGCCTATCAGGAGGAAAAAATGCAAAATGCCATACGTAAAGAGTCTCATCAGATTTGATCCTTTTGGGGTTCTTTGACTTAAACTTGTTGGATGTGGCCAGTAATAGACATAATTTTACTTATTTATTATCTTATAAGTAATTTTTTTTTTTTTAATTCAGAGATTTGCTGTTCCTTTTCTGGAAAAAAATAAAATAAAGAATGTGATGTGGATCATAGTATCTGTAGTTATTCTAGTATTGTCCTTCACTGCGATACCTCAACATCAACATTAGGGGAGCTCTCTCTGGGGTCGTAGTCGTACAGTGCCACCATCCTCCTCGACGCCTGATCTCGACGGAGACCTCTTCGGTTATGCTCTAAAGGTGATAAAAACACAACGCTTGAAAAAAAAAAAGGAGGAAGATTACGTCAAAGGACTTTAGCCGAAACTTGTATCGCTCAACCACAGTGGTAGTAGAGAGCAAAACAGGAATAAAAATCCTTAAAATGCAACAAGAAGATAGTTTTTGTTGTGTTTTGAAGAAAATAAAGTTTGTTCCATCCTGAAAAAGGAGTGTCCTCTAAATATTTAAGTTTCTAATGATTGCAGTGGTTTTAGTTTTGTACTTTGCTGTACCTATTTTGTCTATGGGGGTGCTGAGTGGCAGAAAACCCTGTTTGATGAGGTGGTCCATGGTCTCCTCGTCGTCTGCTCGTATCTCGGACACCATGTTACAGGGTATCAACCCCATCCTGCCTTTCACCTCTCCTCTATAAAAGCCATCTAAGTCCTTATCCCCGTACACCTGGCAGTTACGAGAACGAGAGAGTTTAAAGCATTTGTTGGTGGCAGTGGACTGAATACAGTAAAAACATTAAAGTCCCCACCTTAATGATTTGCCCCTCTTTGAATGGAAGCTCCTCATCGGCTGCGTCAGGATTGGGGGACATAGACAGAGGATCGTAATCGAAGAGGGCCACAAAGATCCGAAAGTGCTCCTCGGGTTCTGACTCGTCATAGTAAGTGGGAGAACGGCGGTCCCGATTCCTGTAGCCATCTTCAACGCAAGCGGGAAAAACACATAAAATTCATCACAATATTTTAGTAACGCTCTAACGAGGAGACCGAAAGCAAGGAGCAGGCGTGATGGAATAACTGGTGGACCAGTTCAGAGCACCAAGTAGCAAAATTTGAGTTTGTTGCTGTTCATAGCGTTTACAATCTGAGCCATGCCTCAGTCAAAGGACGTCCGTTTAAAAAAATGTGCATCTTTATAATTCGTATTGATCTGATTGTTCCCAACATGGAGTTCATTCTCTTATGTTGCCGTTTTTGTTTCTGTTAGCATGCAGGATGAAGCATGTGACCAGCGGATTATTTAACAAAGTTCCTGTGGGACACACACATGCATTCATTAATACACACGCACACCCAGGCTGCGTGTGTTTATTTATTTAATTTTCCTCTCATTCCAGTTTAAATCTTCTGAGAAACAAGTGAGGAACGACACATGCTGCAACACATAAAACATGTTTCATGAGCATGGCCAACATAAAAGACGTCTGGCATGCAGAAATAAAAAAAAAAAAGCAAATATCAACCTAAAGCTGGTGGTGAAACAATAATATAAATGTCACATTCAAAACCAAATAATGCAAAAAGTTTTCAGGCTGTGGTGTAAAAGCCAGACATATAACTTAAAGGGATAGTTCAGATTTTGAAGTTGGGTTTCGTGGAAAGGTTGTAAATAATTAACACCTTACCTGTTTCAGATAGCTCGTTGAACAATCTCAGTTTGGCGAATGGTTTTACTAAATTATAAACCTTTACACTGTCTTCACTTTTACCCTGCATGGTTTTGTGGCAGATGTTTTATGAGCTTTAAGAAAAGTGCTCCAAGTTGCACCAGAAGTGGCGCAGCTAGCTGCTGCCCGTTATTTGCGCTTTCAAATTCGCATCACATTTAATGTAAATAATTGTGGATAACACCTGACAATAAGCTAAATTTGATTAACTACTAGGGAACGCCTCAGGAATTAATCAGGAACAAACCAGGAGCTAATGGGTAGTTAACCAGTACTTACTGGGGAACACACAGCCAAGCCTTATTAGGGGACTACTGGTGTGTTACCACAGAAACAGAAGATAAATTAACCATGGGGGTTCTGAATAAACCCTGCACCAGTGAGGTCACAGCTCATAATTTTCAAAAACCTGTTTCCTAATGATTATTGATTTTATTGGATTCTTACCACTGATTAGTTGAGTTTGCAAAAGAGAAACTCCAATAAAAATCAGTCATCACTAGGAAACAGGTTTTTGACTATTACGAGCTGTGATCTCACTGGTGCAAGGTTTATTCAGAACCCACATGGTTAATTTATCTTCTGCTTTTGTGCTAACAAACCAGTAGTCCCCTAATAAGGCTTGGCTGTGTGTTCCCCAGTAAGTACTGGTTAACTACCCTTTAGCTCCTAATTCGTTCCTGAGGTGTTCCCTAATCAAATTTTGTGTACCTTATTGTAAAGTGTTATCTAATTGTGCAACATTAAATTAATGGTGGTGTTAAGGTTTAAAAAAATAGCATTTAAATGAATGACTGATTTTTTTTATATTTAAATTGTTTCAAGATAGCAGCAATCTCCCTGTGCTCAGTTCTAAACAAACTACCGTATTTTTCAGACTATAAGGCGCACTTAAAATCTTTTAATTTTCTCACAAATCGACATTGAGCCTTATAATCCAGTGCGCCTTATGCATTAATTCTGGTTGTGCTTACTGACCTCGGACCGATTTGATGTGGTTATTGTGAATGAGTTGAATAAAGTTCGACTTGTCTGTTTTGTTTCGCTTAATGCGCCTTATCGTCCGAAAAATACAGTAGCCATTCGGAATTGAACTGTTTCCCAAAATGAAGCAGTTAAAAAGCTATTTACAACAGGTAATATGTTAATTGTTCACAACTTTTGCATTAAATCTAATGGTTTTATGAAGTAAATGTGTTATTCCAAAACTGACTAATGTTACAATGGTATGACTGTAGCAGGAAGAAGAAAAAAATTTGAGGGATGACTTTGTTTACCTAAGGTAATATGACTGACATTTTAAACAAAAAATAAATAAAAATATAGGAAAACTCCTCCAAACGCTGTGATATATTTTTATTTATTTCAACAATGGCTATCAGATGTTAATGAATGACTGGTCCTGTATGTTGTGGGTGTGGTTGCATCACCAAATAAAGGGTGTGGGTGAAATTCCCCAAGGAGGAAATCAATCCTTTTATCATTGCAACTGTTTAAACTCACTTTGCGGACCCCAGGTCTTGCCCGTGCGTCCACCATTCCACTGCAGTGCAGTCATGCGCTTCGACCGCAAGCATAATAGTCACTAATATTATTTGGAACAAACAGACAAGCAGTATGTGTCCACAGCTAGTTGTTGCCATTTGCCAGGTGCCGGTGGCCTTCGTTGCTGCCATGCTGGGGTGATAAATATTGCTCTGCACGCACATACCATGGGGAGACCTGGTGCCGCCTATGTGCCTGCAGGACGACCACTTCCTGTGCCGAGCTACTCTGCCATAGTTAACTTCCTCGGTCACGGAGGAGAGGTTCCCCTCACTGTTATTCTCAGAGGTTACTTCTATGAGAAACACCAGTTAGAAGGTGACAAAACAAAACAAAGCTCAACTTTCCTGTCTCAAAATGTCAACCAAAGATTTGCTTAAATAAAAAGGCGTATGTGCAAATCTATTCATTTGTGGCAGCGTGGTACAGCGCACGGCAGGTTTTCAACACCACGGTCGCTGCCATGTGAAAATCTGCACTCAAAGTAAAATTACCGTGGCCTTTGGACACAGAGTAAATCTAGTCACAGAAAAGCTCAAGAATGTTTTAACAGAAAGTCACAGAAAAAATATAAAACACAAAAGACATCACATTTTTCTTTAAACCTATACGTTTGTACTGACCAATAGAGGGGACCATTAAAGGTTGCCTCTTAAGATGGGAATGAATTCGTCTCCCACCGTCCCGATCATGGCGACCTCCAGCAGGACTATTTGTCTGAAATACACAAAAAAAAGAACATTTACAAATATTGAGCATTCATGACGTGCTCACATACAATGTGTATGACTGTATACAATTTTTTTTTTATCCACATAACTGAACAAACTTTATATCAACAAATTCATGCAGAACTCACAGGCAGGCACTAAAACGAAGACACATAGACTCACATTGAAACACATACAAGCCAATGGAAGATACTGCAGTTTTAAAATGAAGCTGTTACTCGTCGTATGGTCCTGAATTCAGTTTTGTCAGACATGGAAAACATTAGGCAAACACATTAGAGAGTTTAGACTATGGTCCTTATGCCTCTTATAGACAAACAGTTGCAAATTTAAAACATTTTTAGCATTTTCTTTTTATTATTTAGATTGGATGAACTGCTTGCCGTGAAAATGTTACTTACAACTAAACATTTAACTAAAGCATTCTGTTTCTCTTTGTAATTTCTGAGGCTGGCAAGACTTTACACAAACTATACATCTGGGCAAGCTAAAACACTAATTTGGATCATTAAAAACAACAATAGAGCAAAAGAAGTGCCCCTTTAAAGGGATAGTCTGATCATTTTTTTAAGTACCGTATTTTTTGCCATATAAGTCGCACCTTTTTGCATAAAATTGCGAGTCCTGCAACTTATACACCGAAGCGACTAATATACGTTTTTCCCCATATTTATTACCCAATTTTTGGCTGAGCTCTGACAATTTAATTCATTCTGACATGAAAAATATTGAACATTTATCATTTGCAGCCGCTAAAGGGCCCTCAAACCTTGCCAAGTGTCTCATTAATAGGTAAAAGTTGTTATTAATGAGACACTTGGCTTGCCATAGCAGCCACCTTCGTCTCGCTCCGGAACTCCTGAAGCAAATGTCAAATCAGCTTCATTTCGCTGTACCGCCCAGGCGAAATGCAGTTGATTTTACCATTAAAGTGCATTTATTAAGGAAAAGTTCAACTAAGACACACTTTTGCTATAACGTCAAGCAAACAAATAATTGTTTTTAAGTGTTAATCCTGTTAAATTCTTGTTAAATTCCTCTCATGCATGCTCCCACCATTTTGCAGCAAATCGATTTTTGACACAACACCAGCCCACGTTTCCAGGTGGTCAGCAGTGACGCATAACAAACACGACGCGTCAGTGGTGACGCATAATGTACGGTGAAGTGACTTATTTATGTTTTTCTTCTTTATTACTGTAATTTCTGGACTATTGCACGCACCTGAATATAGGCCACGCCTGCTAAATTTAAAAAGAAAATTAAAATTTTACATAAATAGGCCGCGCTTGTCTAAAAGCCACAGATGTTCACGCTGTAACATGAGATATTTACACAGAAAGATTTTTTTAATATATATTTAATTAAATACGTACTAGTAACATGCACAAATTCAGTTTTGTTTTTTTGTTTTTTTCTGAACAGTGCATGTAACACAGCTGATAAAAAAAATACAGTAGTCTACCAGGAAGTCATTGATCGCTACCTCCCAAGAGAGACGTGTATTGGGCAGCTATGTGAGCACCTGGGTGTGACGAAGCTAAATGTTTTGGTGGCATGAAGCTCGTTAGCCCTTCAAAAAAAATCCATAAATTAGCCGCAGCATTGTATAAGCTGCGGTGTTCAAAGCGTGTGGAAAAAGTAACGACTTATAGTCCGGAAATTACGGTAGACATTTTTTTGACTGATGCGATTTATACGGAGGAAAATACGGTAATGTTCCATCAATAGAACCTTATTAGCCGTGACATCAGTAGTTTGAAGAAAAGGAGGAGAACTATTAAGAATTTCTTAATTCAGACCTAGTGATGAGTTAATGCTATTGTTCATCACTTAAAAATATTTTTGGTTTTAGAATTGATACTTTGACAGTAAAAACTGGAAGAAACTGATAAACAAGCTCTTGCTTTGAACTCAAACTTTCCTGGAAAACTTCAAAAAAGGGGCTTCTCAAAAGCACAAACTGCTGCTCGCTGCATGGAAACCTCATAACAGCCTATCACTTTCTTCACCACCTCTTTATGGTGGTAAGAATTTATAATCAGCATGATTCTTTTTTTTTTTAATCTGTTGAAATGTATTGAAGTTTTCTAATCTTGAGGACTCAAAGCGTTTTACACTACAAGCTTCACTCGATCATTCAAAGATTAATCAAACAATAAATCGTCAATCAGCAGACTGGAGGTTAGATTTCTTTCCCATGGTACACTTTGACATTAAGCTGTCAACCTTCCACTTGGCAAATGTTCTTCCTTCTGAGATCCAAACACTCCAAAAGCTTTTTTAAATTCTCGTTGCAAGACAGATTGATCAGTGAGGATTGCAAGAACGAATTCACAGTAAGATTCTATCAGTTCAGCCTCTAAGCTGTCCATTTGTGGCCAGAACACAAGCACTGAGACCAATTATCAAACCAAAGTCTTAGCTACAGGTATGTTTTCAATGTGATAACAATAACCAAAGGTGGCTTTAATCTTCTATTGGATCTGTGCAAACCAGTAGCTCATCTGATTGGAAAGGCAATCACTTGTTGCGTATTTGTCAAAGTGTTTGCCACGTTCCAGATCATTACAGAGAACTCCCGTGATGGTTTCTTAGAAACAAACCATCCGAAACGTTTTCTGCATACAGCTCGGGGTACAAACCAACAACACAAACTAAATGCAAGTTAAGGCAACAGTCGTGTTTAAAGCATCTGTGCCCGTGCAGTTCACTCAACGACTTTCAACATGAGCGGCTGACTCTCAGATTTCAGGAAAAAGTGCAAAGAACTGCACCTTGGGAGCGTGGTGCGAGTTGCGTCGCCGTCCCCCCTCTTCCAGCTGCATCTCAGAGTACAGCTCCTCCTCATCCTCTTCCATGATGTCAGACAGGTCAGAGCCCCGGCTGCTCTCGCTGTGATACTCTTCATTGTGACTATAGTGAGGCTTTCGTTTGTTACAAAGACACAAACACACAGACGCAATTGTTTAAGTCCACAAACGTACCAAAGCACATATGGATGGGCAAACACACAGACACACACACAAAGACATGTGAAGGAGTGAAAACATGCAGCCACTCATATATATATATACACATATATATATATATATATATACATGCACACACACGCGCGCACACACACATACACACTGACACAGTTTAAACACATTGGTGTTCACAAGAAGAACAGATTCATCCTGGTTGGCTCTGTTCTTACCGGCCTCCCCAGTTCTGAGCCTCTCAGAAACTCATCAACCGAGGGTCCTCTCCGACGGCCATGTGCAAACCCTTCCTCATCCTCCTCTTCCTCATCAGAGGGATGCTGGTGAAATGAATGACCCTGCTCTCCATATCTGCCCTGTCTTCTGTCGCCCTGAAAACATAATGGAAACGTAAGGCTAATGTAATACTGAGTTCTGATTGGAGCGCTCTGAGTAAAACAACTTTTATTTTATTAAGCATTAAGATGTTTTCCATGAGTTTTCTGTGTCCAGACCTTGAAACTTTCTGCTGCCACTCTTTGTGCTGCTTCTCGAGCAATAGCTTTGGCCACAGTGTCTGGAATGAGCGTGCCCTGGGGCTGAGGAAGAATCCTCTGAGGGGAGGGTGAGCGAAGATTGGTAGGAGGAGGGGGCTGGAGAGTGTGGCCTGGCATGGGCACAGGAGGCTGTGACGGAGATCGCGTTGGGTCCCAGGGCGAGTGGTCGGGTGGGATGGCTCTTCCGTGGTGAGCTGTGTGCTCTTTGGCTTCCAGGTCTCTGGCACTTACTGGTCTCTGAGGTATCGGGTAGGGCTGGGGGTGGGGCAGCAGAGGCAGTCGGTGCTGGGGCCTGGGACCTTGGTGGGGGGCATGAGGTTGAAGATGTAAGGACTGAGGTTGGGGGTGTGGAGGTCTACCTGGATGGGGCAGTCTTGGATGGGCTTGAGGGTGTTGAGGATGGGGTGGGAGTGGCTGAGGATGGGGTGGAGCAGGAAGTTGGGGTGTAGGCTGCGGAAGGTGAGGAGACTGGAGGTGAGGTTGGGGGTGTGGAGGGGGCCCTGCGTGGGGGTGCATTGGCGCTGGCAGGGGAAGCGGGGGTAGAGGCACAAGCAGGTTGTTTGGAATGACGGCGACTTGGGAGTCCTGGGATTCTCCCTGGGCTGAAAGTGTCCGAACGATGACTTCTCTGGCCTCCAGGCATTGAATCCTCGTCATATCAATAGTGACGTAGTCTGCCATCGGGAATAAGACCTCAGCTATCTGGATTTAAAACACAAGTACATTATTATTGTCAGTGCATGCAGCATTGCATCAAAAACATACGTTAGTACAGGGTTTAAAGCCCAACATTTTCATCAAAGCCTGAGGAAAATCTGATTACAAACTGGCACAAATGTTTGCACAATATGTGCTTTTTCTAACTTAACTCTAAAACCTGTCAGCTCAGCACATTATCCTAAAGGTTCTGTTGTTTGGCTGCAAAAGGGAGAAAAACAGAATCCATACATCAATGCCAGTATTGCTACAAAAACAGAAAAATCCTGCATGTTAGCACATTGCACAGCTAATGAGGCTACTTTTATGGTTTCACATTCGGCGTACAAATGGGGTGTTTCACATTAAACTAAAATTATTTTATTATAATCCATGACAAGTTGTTTAGTATGCTTTTTGGTGGCAGAGTGACAGATGAAGCTAAAGATAAAATTTTACTTCTTTTTTGTCTGAAATGATGTAATCTTCTCTTTATGGCCCTTTACGAGACTCTACTTCCTCAGACGGCTGAGACCAGATGGTCTGGGAAGCTCAGTCCTCACCTCCTTCTACAGGTGTGCAGTGGAGAGCATCCTGTGCTCCAGCATCAACATGTGGCATGGAGGCTGCACAGCTGCAGAAAGAAAAGCTTTGCAGAGAGTGGTGAAGGCTGCACAGAAGACTGTTGGAGTCAGCCTTTCCACCATCACAGACATCTACACTTCCAGATGCAGGAAGATGGCCACCTGCATCATGAAGGACCCCACTCACCCAGCACACACTTTTTGCCCTGCTCCCCTCAGGCAGGAGGTTGAGGAGCATTAAGTGTAGAACCACTAGCCTGAGGAACAGCTTCTACCTTGAGGCTGTTAGACTCATGAATCCCTAACTAGGATAATCACTGTGAAAAATCACATCATGTTGCTGCTGATCTGTTTCATGTTGCTGCTGATCTGTTTCATGTTGCTACTGATCTGTTTCATGTTGCTGTGTTCATTTGTACTCATCTGACCACACAGACTCACGTTCATGCTGCTGTTCGACATTTTTTTTTGTACTACCAGTGCTTAGCGAATTTTTAGTTAACGTTTTTCTTAGTTCATATCTTAGAACTTATTACTGTTTTTTTTTTTTTTTTACATTTTATACTTTTGTTTGGTGTAACTGGGACCATGTGTACACAATTCCATTCCACCACTTGTACCACATGTGCTGCGTATGACAAAAACAATAAACTTTGACTTTGACATCAGCAGTTTCTGCTCATTAGCACAGAGCCATGCGTCTGTGAAGTCACTGTTTGGTTTCTCCAATATAGAGATCTGGGCATTCCTCGCTGCACTGAACTGTAGACACTACACCACTCTGTGTATGGGTGTTTGGACCAGCCTCTATCTGAGAGTCCTGTTGGGTTTGAAATGTGCTGGGATGTTGTGTTTGTTAAAAATCATTCTGAATTTCTCTGATACTCCAGCAACATAAGGGAATCTGTGAATTACATTAGCAAAGACCTTAACAAACCCCCTACTGTGACATGTGATAGGTCAATCTGCATATGTATGTGTGTACTTTATCTCAGCTTTATAACCTGAACCCCACACTCTCTGTTCTTTGAATTGAGAAAGCTTCTCGGATGAGAAGCGAAATGTTTTCTGTTACAAATAAAGTCCATTTGTTTTTGTCTTGAACTTTTTTGAATTTCCCATGTCCTGGATGACTGAGAATCTTCACCAGCGTAAACCTTTGATGGTTTATTTATTTATTTTGTATGAAATACTGCACTGCTGGTTGATTTAAATATTAACAGTTGCCATTTTGGTCACAATTCAGCCAGTGTTCACTATCAGAAAGTTGAAAATAAAAAAAACTATCAAAACTGTGAAACTCAAAAGACCTAAGTTTCCGTCCAGCAGAGGGCAGGTCTGCCACATACTTTCACTGCAGAGTTGAGGTGATTTTTGTCACCAGAAGGGATGTGAGATGAGAGCCGTGCATTAAACACTAACCACAAGCAGGTGGCACCACCGTGTGCACTAATACAGATGACATAATGTTAAAGACAAAGACTAAAAGCATCCCAGCTGTGATGTATGTTATTGCTGTTTGGGTGGATTAAATGTGATTAAACCTTTGTTACAATGTCACCACTCTTAATAATATATCCGTGAACTGCATGTTCACTAATATGTTTCCCCTAACTGTACGAGTATCTCCTCATCATCACTTTCACTGTCCTTCAACAAAACAAACTAAAGGATAAAGTATGACTTGGTGTTACTAATGCTTACTCACCCTTTTTCCTTTAGTGCAGACTGCGTAGCCAATGACATTTGCCCCATTAGAAGTGCCTGTGGGAGAGAGGATGGGAGGCTTCCAGCGGACCTGCAGGACCCCTGGAGCCTGCCCGCAGAGCACCTGAACATCGAGGGGAGGCAAGGGTGGCCCTGGAAGGTGAGAAAGCATGTATTTAAAAAAATACAAATCATACTATAGATTATTATTTAAAGCCCTTTACATAAAAATGACAATAAAAATAGTGAAGCATTCCTTTTATGCACGACAAGCATGCACAGATATAAATGAGGAAGTGAGTGAATGGGGGGGGGGGGGGGGGGGGCCTGTACAAGCTTGGAATTTGAAATTTGTTTAAATTTGTGCAATATTGCACAAGATTTCAGTGTGTACCACAATTTTTGTTCCTATGAAGTGTTATTTCCAACTCCTTTTATTGCAAGACAATTTAAAAAAAATCCCCAAAATTAATTTAAACTCCACTTTTGTGACCAACATGTTGAATTTTTGACCAAAAAATGGCTAAATTTCCCAATTTAAAAAAAAAAGTTTTTAGAAAGTTTTAGGTTCTAGAAATTTCTTAATGTTTCTGGTAAATTATGACATTTGAGAGATTTCTCAAACCAAAGTAACTTCTAATAAAAACCTAGAAATTTCTTGCAAGATGTAAACATTTCAAGATCACAGTCAAATAAAAAAATATTTTATTATAATGTTATTATTATTATTATTATTATTATTATTATTATTATTATTATTGTATTGTTTAAACTCATTGGAAAAGTACTTTTTTAAGCCTAAATCTTTAGCAAAGTCCCTAATCTGAAAAACAATAGTAACGGGTATTAATTGAAAAAAGGTAAATTTGTTAGTCATAACCACAAAAGTCAAGTTTTGGGTTTTAAAAGTTGTTGTTTTTTTCCCTTTTTGATTAATTATAAGCAACAGGGAAATTGTAATTTTAACCCAGAAACAAGACAAAAGTTCAACTTTGTTACCTAGTATTATAAATACTTTGTGGTCACACATGCATAAACATGTTAAAGTGACCTCTAATGATAATACATTTAACTGAGCCACTTTAAATTAAGATAATTCACTCTTTCAAATTTTTAATAAGCTTAACTACTCCAAATTGACTTCTTATGTAAAATGTGCTACATGTAGCACTAATTTAGCTTAATAATGTGAGAACAAGTTTCACGTGATTTGATGCAAACAAACAATATGGGTTCTGTTTCCTCCATCACTACATGCAGAAGATATTGATGTCTTTCGCCTTCTTGTAACTCTGGAAAGTTCATGCACATCTACATTCAAGCAGAACTGAATGCACAAAACTCAAGAGTAATTCAACGCACTGTTAAGGAGTACTGATTTTTTTTAATGGAAATGCTATTTATAGGTTATAGGAGGGGGAAATGACTCAGAGTATAAATAATAAATATTTTACTATCCATAATTGTTATCTAATTAGTGACATGCTCTGTGCGGCAAAGTTGGGCAAAACTGCAAATGAATTTAACTTTTTTTTTTTTTTTTTGAAAGAACACGAGTCACTGTAATTTTGGAAATGAAAAACGTTTCTTAAACCAAATGCCATTTTACCCACATGCCCTTTGCAAACGCATTTAAATGAACAATATGTGATAATCATCCCTCTCCTGAAGGGATAATGGTAATCATGGCAGCTCTGCTTTCTTGTTTTCTATATCATTCAGTGGTAAAATAAAGGTAGCCAAGCACTGATGTTTCATTCTGACCTGTTCTGCAAAATGGTGTTGGGCCTGGACAAAATACAATACACAACAATAACATAGTAAGGAAACATGATCCCAAACTCTCCAACATCACAGAACAGACCTTTACATGAACTTTATACAAATGCAATTAAAAGCATGGTTTTAGCACACCAAAAACTTCATACCAGCAAAAGTGTTAAAAAACATTTCTAAGAAGCTGTGTACTTGTGCATTTATTGATATTTTGGGGGATTTTATTTGGTATAAAATGATGTGATTCTGACCTGCAGCTTGAGTGCAAAACTCTACCCCGGCCTCTTTTCTTTCTCTCTGCTCCAGAGGCAGCTGCCAGGGCACCTGGTGAGGCTGTGCCGCCACCGTCACTTTATACACCGTCAGAGGCTTCAGGTTGATGAAGCGTAGTCTGTACCTTCCTGGCTTCACCACTGCATGCTCTGCCCCATCTAAATAAACGGTGTGACTGTAGTTGCTGTTGCTAGGCAACCAGGAGAGCTCGGCAGTGTCACGCTGGATGTCGTCCACCCGTAGACCGCATGGTGCCACCACCACGTTGGCCCCCACCAACAAGGTGCAGCGCAGCTCATCCGATAAGCCCCGATCGGTGACGCTCTGCACCGACACCCGGAAGATGCAGCCGTCCAGGTCCAGCTTCTCCAGCAAGCACTTGGTCCGGCCGCCATATGGTATACTGGCCCGAAGCTCCCCGTCCACTAACACGTTGTAGCCAGAGATGTTCCCCCAGCCCAAAGGCACTACTGGAGGCTCCCATGCCACAATCACACTCCGTGCCAGCTGCTTGATCTGGGTGATCTTACGGGGGTAAGGCACAACATCTTCAGCTAGATCTTCAGGGTCCAAGGGACCCCCTGTTCCATTGCTACATGGAACCAGGGCGCTAGATGAGCCTAGGAGGCTATCCTGGGAGGCACCTCCATCTACTGTCATCAAGGCCAGGGTTGTGTGGTTCAAAGGGCCCAAGTCTTCCCCACCCTCCCCAATTGTTTTTTCCTTGTCCTGGACAAATTCCACAAAGTTGGAAGGAACAAGTCCTCTCTGGCCATCCAGAAGCTCCCCTGGGATTGAAACAGAAAAACAGACAGATGTATGAGACAAATGAGTATTTCTCCCCTTTGTTCATACTGATAAACAAAAAATAACTGCTAGAACCAGAGAAAGGAAGGCTGCAGGTTCACTTCTCGCCTGTGTGACGTTTGCTTTTTCTCCCTGTGCATGCATGGGTTTTCTACTGGTACTCCGATTTCATCCCACAAAACCAAAAACGTCCATGTTAGGTTACCTGATAACTCTAAATAGTCATACGTAAGACTGGAAGTGTGAATGGTTTTAAGGCCCTTCACACAATAACTGCATGGATAAGGAGGGAAAAAATGGATGGATGGATGGATGGATGGATGGATGGATGGATGGATGGATG